CAGTGTTTTTGTCAGCTAAATCATTTTGTCCTACTTTGTTTTTCAAGGCACTTCTTAAATATATTGATATAAATCAATTAATTAATGAGAGGATACAAAAACAAGTAAAAGCAAATAATTCGGGAGTTATGATTACAAATGCGCTGACAAACCAACAACCTACGAATGACTCTTGAACTTTGTTCTTAATATGAGAAATGGTGGGTAAAAGCAATAACCAAAATGAAAAAAATGCAACCTTGAGTCTTTTTTTTACTTTGCCTAGAGCCAATCTGCTAAGTTCTATAGCCATTATCAGTCTTGACAACCTTTAGTACTCTATTTACTATTCTTCACATTTTTCCTTGTGGATGCATCAGCACCATAATGAACAATAAACGAAAACATGGAAATCAGCTAATAGATCGTGCCAGGCTCAGCATTTGCGCACCTTTACTGCTGAGTAAATCACAATTTACCACATTTTTCAAACAACTATAAAAGAATACGGTTCCATGGTCGTTCATGGTTATTTTATAACCTGATTTTGTATATCAGCGAAGATTTTGAAGCTTCAATTTTACAATCTGAGCTACTCCTTGCAGACATGAGGTATGAAGCTGTACTGCTGATAATTTTCGCTCTGATTGCTGAAGTGAAACCACAGTATCCTGACTATAACCCCTATTACGGTTTCCCATATGGTGCGCCTATGGGAGGTGACATTCCCTATGGGCAAGAGGATGCCGCAGGAGTGGGTAGGTATTTCTATTATACTCATAGATGCTCTCAACATTTCCTTTTGCAGACCCGGTAGCTGGTGCCATAGTTGGAGCGATTACAGGTGGCTTGATGGGGCTATTATCTGGTGGAAAGAAATGATAGGCCTATTCTTCTGACGTCGAAGACTCAACTTGAAAATGGGCGAAAAGCATAACACATAGGCTTTGAAATGGTTAAAGTTAATGGCGTCCCCCTTGAAAATGCATAAATTTTTATTGTTTCCGGCTTAAGAAATGTAAAAGATTATCGACATGCAATTTGTAAGCCTTCTGCACAAGCTTCAAAAAGAAGAAAATGCCCCATGCTGCGATACGCTGGTGGGAGATTTGAGAAATGGGCACAAAGAACAAAATACACCAGACAAAATCAAAATGCTTGGAGAAGAAATTAGTTGTATACGCGCATTGGTGTAAGAATTTGCTTCAGTAGATATGAATGAAAGCAAGTTACAAAGAAATGTGCAAGAAAATAAGTTGATAAAGAAGATTGATATGTCATAATTAACTCTTTTAGCACTTCATTAAGTTGATATATCATATTTGCTCCTATAATCAATAAACAGGCTCAAAATTGTCGAAATCAATCTTCCTGTTAAAAAAACGATCTGTATCGGCAGGGCTCGTCAACCTCCATGGTGTTCGCATGATGCCGGTCACTCCGACACAATATAATGAT